AACTAATATCCGTATTAAGGTTGTCTGTAAGAGATCGCTGTGAGCGATAAGACCGCCGACTGCTACGTCTATATATTTGTAATGTCTTATGTGTTAACTATAAACAATAAAGATATAAATAAATAAATAAAGATGAGCCATAACGTCGACATTTTGCAGACCATTAGCGACATATTTTGCTAATAATTATATTAATCCCCTTGTTTCGTTACAGGACCTAAGTTACCAATTTTTGTAGCAATAATAAAACTCGAAGAGGATTAAGTTTTAATTGGAAGAGATTCTACGCGAATGAAGTCGCGAGGACTAGATAGTCTTTTAAATCATATTAATAGTATAAATACGATTCACGGAAGCTTTTTTATTTCTCTGTACTGTGAACTAAATACTACGTGCGATACAATATTGGCATGCAATATAGATTATGTTCACACGGCCCAGGAGTCGATACTGTTCTGTCGCCTTGACATTATTGCCATAACTTCCTCGACCTTGACTTGAAGCATGTTTCAAATTTAACTAAATGGTGCACGATCTTAAATCATTTATTACCTATGTATTAGTTAGTTAGTCCGCTGCTGCTCTTTCATACATTATGCTCTTGCATACTCCAATTTATTGCATACAGATTTCAAAAAAGATTCTCGTATCTGTTATTTTCTCTAAGGTTATTACTTTATAACTCCGTGACTAAAAAAACTACGACTAAAAATTTATTACATTATGTTTCAATTTCATTTTACAAAAAAAGTAATTAATATTAGAATAAACTATTTCTTTACTTCATTGTTTAAATTAAGATATGTTATAAAATTAAATAGAAAATCATAAAACATTTCATTACACAGTCAAAATTTGATTTCATTAATTAAATTAGTCATCAATGGTAGCTAAGCCTCACCCAAAAAGCACAGTCGTCCAATGGTTTCTGATAGGACACTCGTACCTTCCACCAACCGCCCTTAGGAGACTGTTGCGATTGCCCCACACTCTATTCACAAGCTATTGTTAATAAACTGTTATTTAAAAACTGATTTACAAAATTAGAAGAAGAAAAACCCTTCCTAAGGGTGGCAAATTAAGTAATGAAGAATACATCATCATCATCATCAACAGCCTTTAATAGTCCACTGCTGGACATAGGCCTCGCCTTAGAAAGGAGGTTTGGCCTACTATACCACGCTGGCCAGACGGGTCGGTATAGGGTTTGTGTAAAGTTTTCCTTCTCTCTGCAGTGCTGGTTTTTTAAGAACAGTTCATAATTATTCATAGTGAGACAGGCGCAGAGACGACAGACACTTTAAGCCGCCAGTTCTGGTTGTCATACGAACATCTGTGCTAATCGTTACGGGTAGTGTAAGCCTTAAAAAGTTCGACGACAGTCTCTCTGTAGAACTTCGATATCGCCTTGTACTTGGGTTGTGGCGGACTGATGGTAGTCGCTCCACGTAAAAAATCAAAGTTTAGTATAGACTTAAACCTCACTTCAACCTCGTTTAGGAAAAAATCTAGGGGAAAGATAGCCTCATTAAAGTGGGTGATTTCAAACAAAAAAAAAAACTATTTCTCAATCTAACGAGAACATTACTGTTTTTCTGACAACAGATGTTTGTAAAAAAACTTGACTATCGATTGAGAACCGTTTCTTATTTCTAAAAATATTTAAATTTTAAATATTTTTAGAAATAGGTTAACGAATAAACGACAGACTTGTTCTAGTGGTTAGCAATCCCGACTCCTAACCCAAAAGTCGAGGCTCAGTCTACTTTGGAATGAGGCCGCCGTGTGTATGTGTCAAGGTATTATTTATTTTTATATAACAGAATTAAAGTCCGTGTGGTGACGGATTAAGAATACAAATTGTCACCACCCCAATTCATCCCGTGGGTGTCGTAAGAGCCGACTAAGGGAGCAAACTAAGCAGGAAAACAGCACTGCAAAGAGAAGGAAAACTTGAAACAAACCCTATACCAACCCGTCCGGCCAGCGTGGTATAGTAGGCCAAAACCTCCTTTCTAAGGAGAGGCCTATGTCCAGCAGTGGACTAGTATAGGCTGTTGATGATGATGATGAATTAAACTCAAGACTAAAAATTTTACTGATTGATTCTTAAGTTGTGATTAGATTTATTGGAATAATTTTCAATTAATCCGTATAAAATTAAATGCCTCGACTGGCTGACTAATTCAACAACGCAGAGCCTAAGCGATTCGGGTTACGATCTTAAATTTTTATGTTATAAACACGCACTAAGAAAGGATTTTTGGTAATTTCTCCCCAAGGGGGTAAAATAAAGGATAACCACGAAGTTTTTTAAAAGTCTTGGACTATTGACGGTGCCTTGTTTGTATATATTGACAACATTGTGTTACTTATCCAAATATATGCACGAGGTTGAAACCCACGAAGAGAGGTTAGTTAGAGAGAGCACGCGGAGGAAACATATTCAACATACAATAAACCCTAGAATGAATATAGCTCGGCACTGTGTTCAGTATCAATCCATTAAACTTTTTAACTGTTTACCGGAAAGCATAAAAAGCGTAATTTATAGGACTTCTTTATTTAAACGAAAACTTGGAGCCTTCCTGTTGGAAAATAACTATTATTCCATCAATGAATTTATCAATCAAAATATATGCAATTAAATACTTAATAACTTATGTAATAATAATAAATATTGTGAATAATATTCTTGAATCATGAAATGCCTTAATATAATTTATCGTTTTTTTTTGTATTCTGCATGACATATTGTAAAATCTATCAAATTTATTTGTTATTTATTTTTTTTTTTTTTTTTTGATTATTATGTTATTTATATTTTTGTTTTAATTTTTAAATATTTTTGTATTACGGCGAATTGTTATACATTCAAACACAATTATATTATTGTTTGTGAATAAATGAACTATGAACTATGAACTAAGTTCTCAAGAAAAAAAATAATTTATCACGAACGCTAGCACTCAACTAGTAGAGTAACCCGTATAATAGTCTAATCCTCTTACTATTTCTACGCAGATGAAGTTAATATACAGTTAGTCAAAGATAAAACTTGTGTCAAATGTCACTTCGTTTTGTCTCAAAGCCGTTGTAGCTAAGGACATTAATAGCTTCAATGGATATTATGGCCACTGCGCACAAGAAATCGACCTTAAGCGCGTGCGCGAAATGTGATATACTTATGTCTTGTCACTTGTGGATGGTGTTATGCGAGATGGAGCATGCTAATTATTTCTTATGGTTGACTTAAGAAAAAAATGATCTAAGACCAGCTTTAACAAACTTCTCAAGCATGCTGTACATCTTTAGTTTCAGAACGATCTGAGCTGCTTACTAATTTCACTGTTATTTGTACTTCAAACGGATAATTTGCTCTTTTAGGTTTAACGTAAAGCATTGAGACATTAAAATTATCCTTGTTGGTTTATTTACATTTGGTTTTACTGTACAAAAGGCTGAGATTTATATGCCACGATATCTACTAGCTACTGCATGAACACTTTTGGACTTATTCGGTTCGATTGCTACATTCCAATATCATTATTTTTATTAAGTTCATATTTCAAACGGTTGACCCTTTTAAAAAATAATGTTAACATAGCAATTGGGTACGTATTTTCAGTCAGTAAATATTCATTCGGTGGTCAATTCGATGATGATCTTTAAAAATACTTTGCGTCTTCACGAGCACTGTGACTTTAATGGTGTGCAGATGTAGAAGAGTAAGTGGGCCAACGAGCACTGAAATTTACTCAGCCAGGATTAGGAGACGACAATAATAAAATTTAAAATAAATAAAATAAAATGAATAATAGTCATTTTATTTCCAACCGTTATTTTAGAGAAAACTTTTTTTTTTTTTTTTAAAAGACAACTCCCGCATTAGGAATAAATCCTGTGTCGCGGGGGACTTTACAAACATACATGAAACGGACACAAAGAACACCCAGACTCAGAACAACAATTTGTGGATCACACAAAGTGTCGTCCCATGTGGGGTTTAAACCCACAACACTCGGCGTAGTAGGAAGCGGTGTGGCGACCGCTTCAACCACTACGCCATCCGTGCAGTCGTACAGTCTTAATCGTTTCAGTGGTCGGTTCTAAGAACATCTTATTACTGTGATGATGTTGGTATTCAAAACTAATTTTTATACCTTTTTCTAGCTTCATTTGTAAAAAGCTAAGAAAACAAACAAATATGAAAACAAATCTCTTAGTTAATTTTTTACCTAGGTACTTGAAATCCACATCGAATCTTTGTATACATGTTTAGTTTTGATAATAATAATTAAATATGTAAGTTATTATTTAACTATGGTAACCGAGGTACCAAATCATTGTCTAATGTGATGGAGTCAGGAAACTGAGAGTGCAACCCTTTACTGACAACTAGTTAACCCTTCGAGTTTGTGTTTATGTAGGTGTATAAGTCGTTTTGAAGAGTGTTTCTTTTCCTTACTTTTTTCCTTTAACAAACTATATTATTATTTAGAAACTTCTAGTGTAAAAAATTCTAGTCGAGACGACGAATAAACGAATTACCCGGTATTTTTAGTCGAACCAATGGTGTGTGCTGGTACAGTTTGCCATGTTGTTGCCATAATATTTTTCCCTAATTTTAAATTAAATAGTGAAGTATTTACTGTTCATTATTATAATTAGACCTTATTTTTAATTACATAAAGAATAGTTTTTGATGTTGCGATAATACTACGTTTTTGAATTACGATCCTTTTGAATAGGACTTTCTTTTTTTATAGGAATAAATCTCATAAAACACGTCTTTTTAATTGTCATCGAGTTTTGATTGTAACATTTTGCATAGCACCATCCAAGGATCAGTAACTATAACCTACTAAATTCTAATCGGATTACAGCGATTGATTTAGTATAGTGATCCGCGCGCCACTGGCCGGCCATCGACCTGCGCGCGCGCATTTTATTTATTATTTATTTATTTTAGTGATAATTTACTTATTTTAAATACAGCAATGTTGAAGATTTTGGCTGTTATTTTGTTGGGTATGTGTTCGAAGTTTTGAACAACTAAAACAGAAAGGAGGTTTTCCATTTTGTTTATAATATTTTTTAAAGTTTTTTTTGTCAAGTTTAGATAAAATGTTTTTAATATTATTGAACTAATTACAGGTATTTATGAGTTGTCAGGAGTAGGATTAAAATAAGGACTAAGACAGTGGTGAAGCTACGAGTGTTTTTTAACATTGATATTTAACATTTTATGGGTACATTTACAATAATAATAATTATAACTTTACACATCTCACACTCGGCAGTCCTGTGTTATGGTTACCAATCTGCTGATAAACATACTTATATATATTTCTAAATATATACATATTATAGATAAATAATATTGCTTAATCATTTTGACTGCACGGATGGCGTATTTATTCAAGCGGTCTTCCCGCTGTACTGAAAATTGTAGGTTTGATGCCCACATGGGAAAATACTTTATGTGATCCACAAATGGTTGTTCTGAGTCTGGGTGGTTTTCGTGTCCGTTCAAAATTGTTTGTATAATCCCCCGCGACACAGGACATACTCTTAGAGTGCGGGAGTTGTCTTTAAGAACAAAAATGTGTATTTTTTAGCTTTAACTAAATGCATTTATACAATTAACGAGCCCTTAGTTCATTAGTTTTTAGTAGAACGTTTTCTTTATTTCAGCTCTCACAACAGTGTTCAGCCAGCATCTGTACGATTATTACCATGATTTACATCTTCCCCATTCACCCCCACTACATCCAGTCCTCGCCGTGGCTCCAAGAACTCAATTCTCGTGTGCAGCAAGACCCAGAGGGTACTACGCTGATGTGCAGACAGGATGTCAGGTACGCCACTGTCACCACACGAGAACTAGAAAATAATTTTATGTAAACCAAAACCTTGGAGATCTAGTTTTAATGCAATCTCTACATTTTTGTTTGTAAAAAATAATTTGGTTTTAGCACGCAGAAACCTTATTTTTCGTGACATCATCATCATCAACAGCCTTTAAAAGTCCCCTGCTAGACATATACTGTTGTCCTTAGTAGTTTGCTACCATAGTATGCTCTTACGACACTCACGGGATAAATAGGTCTATTCTAGATCTGGCCACTTATAAAAATAACTAGCTGACCCGGCGAACTCTGTTCCGCCTTAAAGGCAATAAATAAGCCGATTTTCGAATTTAGTAAGTTAATTCTTCCGTCTTTGAAAATTCTTCGATGAAGCATTCCAAGTATAATAACTTGGCATCTCCGAGTAAAGCAAAGTTCGTGCAAACTTTTTTTCTTTTTTTTTTCGGAATAAATAGTATCCTATGTCCGTCTCCTGGCTCTAAGCTACCTCCTTACCAATTTTCAGCCCTATCGGTAAAGCCGTTCTTGATTTATAAATAGTGTAACTAACACGACTTTCTTTTATATATATAGATGAAAAAACAATTATGGGATTCGAAAATGGAACTCTTTCGGAACATGTTACTTTTTAATTTGCGAAAATTTCATTTGTTTTTTCATTGTGACGTCCGGCATTTGGTGATGAAGCACCATGTCTTAGCTCTGTGTATTCGTGGTTTGGAGAATTTAGACGTGGAGGTGATCATCTCCATGAGAAGATACGTGAAGGTCGGCCGGCGACTGTGGTTACAGACTCACAACAACCTATTGAAACTGAAAAAAAAAATTACTTGCCGGCAAATTCATGTTTTGTTAGGCAATGGAATGAGTCAAGTGCAAAACATTTTACATGTGCATCTGAAGGTTCGGAAGCTTTGCACTCGCTGGATATCACATGACTTTACGGAGGACCAGAAAGGACTGCGTGTCCAGTGGTGCCGTAAAATGATATAAACGTGTAACAGAGGAAACCTGGGTGTACTGCTTTGAACCCGAAAGTAAAAGCCAGTCGGTAGAGTGAAGATTTCTTCCTTTTGAAGATTTGCCGACAAAGGTTAAGAAAATTCGAAGCATTGGTAAAAAAATGGTTGCTTCTTTTTCGGCAAATCAGGACATTGCACTACAGTATCGCTTGAAGATCAAAGGACAGCGACTGCAGATTGGTACATCAACACTTGCTTGCCCAGAGTCTTAGAAATAGTTTGCGAAAAGCGTCTTCGAAGCAATGTCCTCCTTCACCACGATAATGCATCCTCACCTCACATTCCGCTGAGGTAACAGAAGCCTATCTGATGGCTACAAATGTGGAACTGATGACGCATCTACCTTACAGGCAGGACCTCGCACCCTGAGACTTCTTTTTGTTTCCAAAAATTAAAGACAAACTTAGAGACACACGTTTTACGAGCCCTGAATCGGCGGTGAATGCGTTCCATGAAGCCATCGAAAAGGTCCCTTTTTTTTCTTTTTTTTTTTGATATACAACTCAAAAGTCACAAGTGCGTAGCCGCCCTTGGAGTCCCTCCCGCTCGAGGGGGGATTTGGGCTCCGGTAACCTCACTCACTCAGTGAAAGGCAACGAAAGAATTGCTTAACGGATTTCTGTAAGGCCGTCGTATCACTCCGGTCGAGCCGGCCCATTCGTGCCAAAGCATGGCTCTCCCACGGTAAAGGTCCCTAAAGAAGACTGGCGAAACTGCTTTGTAAAGTGGTTTTAGCGAATGCAAAAATGCATTAATTGCGAGGGAATATACTTTGAAAAACAATAAATGTATCGTTATGCCTATATATATCTTAGTCTTATATATCTAGTCTTATTTATCAGAATCCAGAAACTTTCAGTATGCCCTAAGTAAAAACATATATTTTTTACCTAGCAACACTCACACCAGTATGGGTCATCACAAAGGTCGTCCTTTTGTGATCCTGGACGTAGCCTGGTAATAGAGTTACTCTACAAGTGTTACACTAGTAGACGGAGGACAGGTGAAATGCAAATTCAATATTTGTACGTGAGAAAGTCATTCTTCGGCACAAATATCCCGGTTCGATCGGTAGGACCTCACAGGAAATCCGGTGTTGAGAGAGGTTACCTCCTCCTCCATGGGGGGAGTATTCAGAGGGCGCCAACGCGCTTGTGACTCGTGAGTTGCAGCAATGGGCGGCGGTAGTTACCTATCATCAGGTGATCCTCCAAACCGGTTTTTTTCCTTGTATGTGTAGTAGGTACGACCTGACAAACTTCTTCACTGAAATTTGTTGAAATTTTACAATTCTAAATTTCCCGTTTTAAAAGGTTATGTTACCTACTCCCAGGTATTCCACTTCTGCTGGCGACATCACCTCATCAGCACCGACTTGTGTTCTAACGGAACACTCTTCAATGAACAATTTCAAGTAAGAATTATTTGGTTTTTACTTTTCTCACATCATCACATCAACAGCCTTGAATAATCCACTGCTGGATATAGGCCTCTCCTTAGAAAGGAGGTTTTGGCCTACTATACCACGCTGGCCAGACGGGTTGGTATAGGGTTTGTGTCAAGTTTTCCTTCTCTTTGCCGCTGTTGTCCTGCGTAGTTTGTCCCCTTAGTTAGTCACTTTTCTGATCTATATATAAATTTCTCTTTAGTTCATGTGTTTGTCACTAAACCAAACCCGCTCAACCAATTTTGAGTGTGTATTTAAGTGAGTCCCTGGAGGCTATATATTTACAATTTGCCCCGAAAAGTTGCGCTGCAGTCTGATTCTAAGATTTTATACCTTTTTTATCTCCTTTTATTCATTTTTAGACAAACATTTTAGTGCATTCAAAGTGGTTATTTGGGCGGTTCAGATCTATAATATGAGCCGGTAGGTGGCATTGTTACCAGTTAACCAATATTTGCTCTGATTACGTTACGACTCGACAGGACAAAGTCGGGTCCGCTGTTTATTTTAATGAAATTATATATATTATATTATTAGTAATAATATATTTTATTATTAATAATAATATATTATATTACAAATTTAATATAATTAATTAGCTATCCAAATAGAATGTTACTACTCGTATTACTAAAAAATAATTTTCTGGAGAATACAGTTGTGCCTTATAGGACCATTGAGGAATTCAGTACTATTTGCTTTCATACAGGTTATTTTGATTCTAGAATTATGATATCATTGTTCTCTATATATTTTCAGGTCTGTGATCATTTCTACAACGTGAGATGCGGTTCTCCATATGAAGATTTGTAAATAAACATATCTACATTTTTTATTTTATTTTTACTTTTTCTAAAAATGTATACCAAATGTTATTATATTATTATGTTTATGGAAATGAATATGCTCATCATAGGTATTGATTGTGGTCTCCGATTTCGCATACCAGGATTACGTGTCGCCGTTTTTTCTGCTTTCAGACATCATTTGCAAAAATGCTGTCCGGTACTTTGATGGTGAATAGTTGTCGGTTCAGGGCTAGGTGTCCTGTTATGGTTCCTACAACTATTTGGATATCTAGTCTGCTAAGACTGATCAGTCTGCAAGTGAGTCGTGCTCATGATAAGCATTATGTACATAACTTTTAGGAGAGGCCTATGTCCAGCAGTGGACTATTAAAGGCTGTTGATGATGATGATGATGACATAACTTTGAAATGCCTGACGTTTCGAACAGGTCGTACTGTTCATTATTATATGTATATTATGGAACGCGTTATCTGTATACTTAAATCGGGTTTTACAACTTCTTCAAAACACCGAAATAAATATTATCAGTACAAGATTTGTGAAGGACCGCTTGATTTAATAATTCTCAGTTGGATGGATGGAATAAGATGACAATTTAATTTAGAAGAGGCTTCTGGCTTACCTAGTTAGTACAGATTCAGGGAGTTTTAAAAATGGCACTATTACAGAGTCATGCATAGGCATAAGGGCTGGCTCAACAGGAATGATGCCACAGCCACACAGAAAACCGGCGTTAACCAATTCTTAATCAATAGTGGCCCAAAACCTCCTTCCTAAGGAGAGGCCTATATCCAGCAGTGGACTACTAAGGCTGTTGATGAACCAATTATTTTGTTCCTTGCAGGAGGTTTTATCCCCCCCCCCCCCACAATCCTTATTCTAAGGAGGAGAGGCACTCTTGTATCTCTTGAGCTGGTGTCCGTCGATGGATGGGCGGCCGTAGTCACTTACAATCAGGTGACCCGTCTGCTCGTTTACCCCTATTAGGTAAGATTGAGCAAGGTAGAGGGAACCTAAGGGGTACCGCAAGATGAATCTTACTTCCGTATTAGTACAGGGATTAAATAAAAAAACAAAAAGATTTTTACAAAATATAATATTTATAAAACAAACTACAAAATTGTATAAAATCGAGTATTAACAAACTTTCATGATAATGTCATGATTAATGAAAGAGAAATATACTTAATGTAAGTATTTATAGATATTTAAAGTACATACATAGTTTTTATCACATTTTTCATTAATACATATCACACAGAGCAATGATAACTACACAACACTAAGTCCATTCTCTGTGACGTACACAAGACGTGTGACGTATACAAGTAAGAATATGTCATTGTGACATTTCAATTTGATATTGACAGTTGAGAAGAGAGCAAAAGCAAGACCAGTCTATAGTTACTTCGCAAGTACGAAGTAATTGTTAAACCATAGACAACGTCGAGATCAATTATTGGACCTCACAAGGCATAGATTTTGATTGAAGACTTCAATGATTGACAAACAATACATTATTTTATTATCTGTGTAGGTACTTTTAAAGGACCAATACCTATTAAATTAAGTATGTTAGATTTCTAATATACGTATACTATATACTATAGACTAAAGTAAATTGTACACAATTGGTGTACAATGTAAAAAAACTTGACATACCTCAATTTTAGTTGTAAAAAATGTGTACAAATGTAAAATTTGTAAATTATATATATTTAAAAAATATATAAAATTTAGTGAAGAGTGAGCGCTATACTTTATGTTGATTTATCATGATACAGAAAGTCTGAACATCGACAGTTCAACTTATACTGGAAGGAATGAGCGTTCAAAGAAATAACAAAACATTCAGAATTAATCTCAGGTCGAATTCGACCATTACGCGTTTTCTAGTTATAATAAACATAAAAAACAAGTATTAATCTACTGGGGTCAAATGTAAGGGGTCTCTGCTCACATTCAGTGTTTCTAAAACTTTTATTTCTAGTAGCATATGACGCGTAACATGTGACATCTCACCTTCCGTCTCGGACAAACATAGAGATATAGGCATTGAGTGAACAAGAGCCTCAATCATCGATATAGACAACGACAGAGATGGATAATAGGAAGATGACACTATCTCTTTCTAGTTGAGCTCTGTAGTTGTCTGTGGAATATGAGGGGTTAATATTTTAAGTAGCCAAGAGCAACTTAGCTAAACAGAGAGCTAAACAGAGGCAGAGGAAACTATCGGATCCATCACTCTCGTTGCGTGTATCGCTTCCACTTACAGACAGCTGTTCCCCGTGTTCTCTCTACGCTTATGTCTATGTCTGATACTATAATCTAGCACCGCGCACTTTCATCCGTTCCTTTTTACGTAACCAGTATCACAGATTGTATATTAGTACTTTAAAATATTTAACGTTCTGAATCTAACATCATAGTCAAGCGACTGCCTGAAACAGATATTTACACCTAGCTCAGGTCGATTGCGAAAGAATTTGTAATATTTTGATTTCACTTTTTTTTTCACTCTTGCACGTTTTTGAAGTTTATTTAATAATCTAATGACAACAAGACGTAAGTCATATACAAAATGTAACCTAGACCAAATTATTTTCTGCAAATAAATTGAATTATTTATTAGTATTGCAGGAAAGTGAGACGATACATGTTACACGTACAAAACTGTATGATAAAATATTTACGTTGGACATAGCTGGTCTAAATGCCTATAGCTTTCCCTGTATAGAAACCAAGAATAGGACTTTCTTACAAGTGAGTTGAAACACTCTAAAAATTTAATAAAAAAATATTATTCTGATTTGAATAGTTGCCTAACGTTATATCAAAATATAATATCACAAAGAAACTAAAAATAAACCCTGAATAACGAACTGATACAAACAAGCATACACAACACACTCATTCTCAAACTAGAGCCATTATTGGGTTTTTTGGGATTACCAGTATCGATCTCATTCTCCTTCGATACCTTGGCCATCTCATCTTCTATTCTCTTCTCTTCTAGTGATAGTGAGATAGCATCGTTGATAGTCTGCATTAGAGCGTAGTTGGAGTACTTCGGTTGTGGGAGTCGAAGATGTAATCTGTTATCTTTTAGTACGTATGAAGGTCCTTTTGATGGGACGAGGTTGACTGTAACATAAAAAACAAATTATATTTTCTGCTGAACTCTAATAAATTTCAAAAATAAAAGTTGCTTTTTTTAAAAGACAACTGCCACATTAAGAATATATCATGTGTCGCGGACTTTACAAACATACATGAAACGGACACAAAGAACACCTAGACTCAGAACAACCATTTGTGGATCACACAGTGTCGTGCCATGTGGGGATCGAACCCACAATACTCAGCGTAGTATTAAGCGGCGTGGCGATCGCTTAAACCGCTACGCCATCCATGCAGTCTCAAAAAAGTAATCTTATGACATTAGCTATCTGCCAGTGGAAGTTCGGCATGATTTGGTTCACCCGTTACGGCGATCAGATTAGACAGACAAACAAAAATGTTAAAAATTAACCTACCCTAACGATAAGCTACTTAAATTGTAACTCACCATCAAGTAAATTAAGGTTTTCTTGAGCTTTCTTCAGCAGAGGATCATCGGCCATCGCCTGGTACCTCTCCACGAAGTCTATATACGCGTCAGTCTCATTGCAATTGCCCTTGAAGTCATCCGTATCTATACTCCACACCATCAAACCTCCAAGTCCTTTCTCCATCGCCATTCTAGGAAATAATATTAGAATTTGAAAAGTGAGTTACTTTATCAAGATGGAGATTACTATGGATTTTTAAACAGGCATAATATTATCCCTACTGTTACTAGTTTTTCAGTTACGCTTTCACGGCAAATTCTTATTTGAAACTTTCAAGATACAGTATTATTTATGTTACTTGTACCAACTTATTAAAAGAATGATTAATATTTTAGTAGGAAGTATCATTTTTAAAAACTTAACAAGGCAATAGGCGTGGTGTAATGTAGGTATGGAGGTCTACGTTATCAGTTAATTTTAGAAAAGGGGTCTCTTGTCTAAAATATATTGGGAATACCCGTTTTAAACTATCGCGTTCCATGATATTTAATTATGTTTAGGGGAATTATTAGGGGGATATATTGGGTTAATATGGTTTGTTTTGACACCTCCAACGGTCTCTGGTTATTCATGTCTAATCTACTGAGCTCCTGCCGAGGTAAGCCGCCGCGGGGCTTAGTGGATAGACCGGTTCTCCGCGAGTCCTACACACGCCCTCCATTTCCCCAAAAACAAAAGGCGACGCGAAAAATAGGCTATGTTACTCGTTGATAATGTAGTGTGTAATAATAAAGCATTGCAAACAAACAAACAGAAATGTATGTGCACAGGGACTAGTGAAACGAACGATAGCTAGATTCGCACAGAGTTTATTTGTCAAGCGACACGATATTTATATATGTTAGGGGGCGATGCAACAGCACCAGGGACTTCCTTTCTAGGGTATACCTGGTTCCCCGGCTATTAGTACCCGAGACGGCGTGCGGTTTTAGTCGGTTCGAGTCCGACATGCCACCGATAGGTGGTATCCGAGGGGATTTCCGCACGGAAAAAAAAAAGGGGGCGATGCAACCACCTACATATTAGGAATATAACACAAACAAACTCACTTGAACATTCTTAATATAAGTATGGAAGTATTGATAACTCTATGTTCAACAGATTGGGCTTGCTGCTATCTGTAAAATGCCAAAAAGCTATCACAAATACTTACTTGACTTTAACGGCTATGGACCTGCCGTTGTCATAGACAATAACTCTTTCTCCATCGCGAAGGTACGGAGTTGCGGACTGTTCATCCCAATGGTAGACCCATGGAGAAGACTTGTTGTTCGATTCTGCGCAAATCTGGAAATGTATTGAAAATTATTGGTAGTTTTTAAAAATTCAAATGCCGCTGATGCAGGGGACTTTCGACACAATTTTGTCAACACAATGTCCCAAATGGGAAACGAACACACAAGACCATTAAGCCAAGCTTAATGTTTTTCATACATAGATATAAACTATCTTATGCTCGCGGCTCTGCCCACGCGTATGTCGGTTATCGCAGTAAAAAGTATGTCCTCTGTCCTTCCTCAAGAATCAAGCTATCACCATACCAAATATCATCTAAATCGGTTTAGCGGTTATTGATCCCAATTACAAATTTCCACCTCCCTTTTAACCTTTGAATGATTTCTGTCCTTTCTCGGGACTCAAACTATATCTATACTAAATTTCATAATAATCGGTTCAGCGGTTTATGCGTGAAGAGGTAACAGGCAGACAGACAGACAGTATGGATATTAGTATGGATTACTATTCATCCTATGGGTGTCGTAAGAGTCGACTAAGGTTTAAAACAAAGTTAGAACAGCACAGCAAAGAGAAGGAAAACTTGCAACAAACCCTATACCAAGCCGTCTGGCCAACGTGGTAAAGTAGGCCAAAACCCTTCTTTCTAGAGAAAGGCCTATGTTCAGCAGTGGATAAATATTTTTTATCTCATTAACGTCTAAAATATAGTTTTATAGTAGTTCAAAAAAGATTGATTGCCTTACCTCATTGTACCCCATGAATCCAGCCTCCCCAGTGTAGGGTCCTTTAAACCCAGCTTCCTTAGCCGGTGTTGTGCCGAATTTCACCACAGTGGTGTTAGGGTCCGTCAATACAAACGTACGGCCGTACATTGGTAGACCCAATACAATTTTGTAGGGAGAAACGCCATGGGATAACATGTAGTCTACTGTGTATTCCTGAAAAAGATTTATTTTTTTGAATATGGCTCGGGGTAAGTGGTAACCGAGTCTCAAAAAGTCTGACAACAGTCTTTCTTGGGTTGTGGAGGTCTGATATCAGTCGCTTCGCGTTTAAAATCTATTTAAGTTCAGCCGTATTGTAGTTGACTTAAAGCCGACCCCAACCTAGTTTGGGAAAAGGTTTGAAGAAGAAAGAGCTTTGTGAATATAAGCTATATATATCAGTTTTGATAGCCTGTACATTTGTTTGTTGTTATACCATGTTCCACTAATAGGCACGCATAAATAATCTAATTATCGTTAACTTAACCCATCTTCTAGAGTTTGTAATATGTTGTAGTATGTGATTGTTTGTTTATTTCGCAACATTTAACATTGATGCTCGGCTCCTTTCAGCTCTAGCGTGATAGATAGATAGCCTATAGCTTTCCTCGATAAATGGGCTCTCCAGTACTAAGTTTTTTTTCTATTAGAACCAGTAGTTACTGCGATTAACGCGTTCAACCAAACAAACTGTTAGCTTTGTAATATAAAAAGTATAGAAAAACACCGCCAATTTATAGGTCTGATTAATATCTCAAGGCTAAAAATACTTCTCGAAGTTTTAACACACTGCTAAAACTTAGTCCTGTTAAAAGTATATTAATTGTTATATTACGATAATATATATGTAAAAGTGTATAAAAATTTTAACACCCGTTTATAAACATAGCCTTGGCAGCGGTAATCGTTTTCATAATATTATTTACAGTTACTAATTAAATTTAAAAATATGATCAGAAATTTAAAAGGAAATTGTTAATATTCATCAGTGTTTCCGTTTTACTGCTAGCTGACTAATAAGTCTTATGTCTAAATAAAAAAATATAGAATTTAGTACCATGAGATGATTCATTTAAATAAACGAATGGAACCCACAATTGCACGCATTTGGATATTCTTTCCTAAAACTCCACTAAAAAGCTACATGTCATTGGTCATAAGTTGGATTTTAAAAATCCAAGAAAGACAAAGACATTTATTGCAAAAAACTGTGAACAAACTATGCAGGAACATATATACAACAACACTGCAAAAAGTTCCCCCATGTTCCCTCTGCTCCCTCCCGGCCTGCTTCTGCTAGGGTGACAGATGGCCCTAAATGTCGCTCGCATTGAGATTGCTCGCAGAAGAAGACGGCAGAGTTCCACGCACTCTCGCTCGGCACGATAGCCGCAATCAGGGTATCGAGCGAGAGAACTCCCACTCCGATGGCCGCCACGAGGTCTCGCCTCTGCTCAACCCACGCCGGGCACTCTGCCAGCGTGTGGAGAGCCGTGTCCACGCTCTGGCCATCGCAGTAGTGGCACTCAGGCGTTGGCTCCTTGCGGATCAGACACAGGTGATCCCCGAAACATCCTTTCCCAGTGATCACCTGCGTCAGTCGGTATGAGAGGGTCCCGTGACGCCTCTCGAGCCAATTCTCCATAAAGCAGGAGACCCCTAGGGATTTTCTACCGCGTCAACAAAAAGGTATGTTTATATAGAATTTTCAAAAATAAAGCGGTTCTCAATTCTACTTACTTTTTTTGCCCTTTTTGTGAAGTGATTTCAATGATTCTTTTTTATTTGAATTGTTTGTCCTCAATATGGGTTTTAATTACATTTTAAGCGAATATTTAACCTCTAAGAGTGGAAAATAAATAATTTAAGAAAACAGCTTATTACGTATAGCCTACTATTATGATTAAAGTTCATTGATTTTGAATGCTTAAGAAAGAGCGATGGCACAAGTGCATTTGATATAATATTCGCGTAACACAGTTTCTTACTAAGTATTATAACAACAAAAAAAATTAAACAGTACTGACACTGACCTGCTATAAATAAACAACCTTTTGATTTCAACCAGAATGTTATGAATCGAGGACATAAATGTTATCCGGCGAACATGAGTGCATACATTGATAGACTAAAACGTCACCTGGTGAACATGAGTGCATCCATTGACAAATTAAAATGTCACCCAGCGAACATGAGTTACATGACAGTCATGATATCAAATGTAACCCTCACCAAATAAGTGAAACTTTTTTTATACTTACAACACTCAGAAAATCATCTTCGCTGGTACCCCTGAGCGGCGCATTGGCACCAACAACTCGGTCCCACGTTCCGTGGTAATCATAACACATAATGTGTAACAGGTCCAGGTATCTGCTCAGTTTGCTGAGGTCGTAAGCTGAGTCCATGGTTTCTTTTCCAGCGCCGAGAGCTGCTGTGATAATGTAGCCGTGGGGTTCGAAAGCTTCAGAGAGTTCCTGGCAAAAAAAATATTTTTAGCGCTTTTCTTATTAGCATTATCTTAAAATGATATGATATTATGTGATGTGATGTGACAAATAGCGGTGCTAGCTCTAGTGTAGGCCCTAATAGACCCTCACGTAGACTGTTTATTTTTTGAAAGGGAAAAACTTCATTTTTTAATCTATGCGAAATTAAAAGATATTTTTGTTTTATATTAATTTAAACGTGAATTAGGTGGTACCTAAACTATTTTCTTAGTTTTTTAGTACTGATTTTGAGTAACGAAAATTAGACCTGAATATCGTTTTAGTTTAAGGAGCTAACAGTAGTTCTTTTAGTTAGGAAAGAGATTATCAAGTAAATTTTTAGTGAAAATTCTCTAGAAGAATTGTATACCTTAGAGTAAACTGGATATAAATTTTACTTTTCAAAAATTTAAAAGTAATTAATCGTGTTATAGAAATTCTATTCTATGTTACCTTCACAAGTTGGACGAAATTCTCTCTATCGGCTGGTTTTCCGTCTCTCTTAGTTGGATACTCCCAATCTAAATCTAGGCCGTCGAATTTGTAGTTGCTGTGAAAGATAAGAACAAAGTGATTAAGTAAACATATATTATGTTATTGTTTTTATGTTATAGGAAGACAGACGAGTACCAGGGATTTCCTTTCTAGGGTACAGTTGGTTTCCCTGGCAACTGGTTCTCGAGACGGCGTGCAGTTTTTGGTCGGTTCGAGTCCGACATAACCATCCCACCGGTGGGTGGTATCCGAGAGGATTTCCGTACAGGAAAAAATGTGTGTATGTCATAAGTGTTTTTTAGTATTTTTTAAAAAGACAACTCCTGCATTAGGAATATATCCTGTGTCGCGGGGGACTTTACAAACATACATAAAACGGACACAAAGAACACCCAGACTCAGAACAACAATTTGTGGATACACAAAGTGTCGTCCCATGTGGGGTTTGAACCCATAACACTCGGCGTAGTAGGAAGCGGCGTGGCGACCGCTTAAACCACTACGACATCCGTGCAGTCAGTGTCTCTAAAAACAAACAACACACAAACCTTTCAAACCCTATACCAACCCGTCTGGCCAGCGTGGTATAGTAGGCCTCCTTTCTGAGGAAAGGCCTAAATCCTGCAGTGGACTATTAAAGGCTGTTGTTGATGTGCTGTGATGTCAAGTGTCTGTAAGTCTACTACATGGCATCAGTCACTGTTTTCATGTATAATTAATTGGTAATTTAAGTTACGTAATTTATAATTAGTTGGTAATTTTGTATTTTTAATTGTTGTAATATAAATTATTAGTGATTTGCATGTCATGAGTTAAATGGCAAATGTGTTGGATGTTTTGTAATGTATTTACCATTTTTAATTACCACAATTAATCAAATAAAAGAATTGAAGTGAATATCTATTTTTTAACGGTAGTTAAGTTGACACTATCCTAACGACTTTTAAAATCACAGGAGGGTCAGACTCTGTCCTGATCGATCTACTGCAGGCTCAGTAACCTTACGCCGTCCAATATTTGTAGTTAGCCCTAGCTTCAGTGTCATTTCGAGGACTACGCTAACGAGATGCTGTTTGACAGCACTCTTCTAAAGGTTTTATGAACTTCCTTGCCTAGGTGGCTTTACCACAACACACATTTTTTTGTTTAAACAAAAACCTCTTTAACAGTTACAAATAGAGGTGTTTGGTACGATTTTGGCTACCCCTTATGTGGTTCCAGCGTTAGTGAAGGTATGGGCTCCCGTGGGAGAGCCATGATTCGGCTCAAACGTAATACCACGGCCTCACAAAAACTGGTGTCCAAAGAGCAATTCTTTCGTCTCTTTTCACCAAGTCAGTGAGGCTACCAGAGCTCAAACTCCTCCTCATTCCTTAGAAAAGGACTCAAAAGCAACAGCGAACTTGTGATCTTGAGTTTCAGATTTCCACGAGCGGTGGTTGTTGTGGCGACTCCCACATACAATGAAACAGAGACATACTATGGCGCCATCTAACGAAGACACACCGAACTACGGAGTAACTCCTGAATAAACATTGCTAATCCTGTATCGCGATATAAAGAATTCTCTCGCCGATTAGTATATATACAACTTCCCAACATCAACCGTTGGGCCACGGCCTGCCAGGCATGATCACCTCGCCTGGTCGGAGGATCCTACCTTTGTGTTTGAGGGATATAACACCCATTCCTCCAAAATAGTCACTTACCATCAGGTGACCGTTTGCTTGTTTGCCCCTTGTGCCATATAAAAAAGTGTGATGCAATTTACTCATCTTAAAAACAACTTACTTCAACATCAACAAGACGCTCTTAATAAAGGCAGCTCTGCTTTCTGGCTTGGACGCCATATTGGAATATTTAGGCGACCCTTCGTTCCATCCTCCAATAGCCAAGGTGACCTTCAAATGAGGATACTTCTTCTTAAGGCCTACCAACCGCTTGTATCCAGCCTTGCCATAGTCTGTTTCTAGGTCTTGCCATGGATCTGAAAAAGGCAAGATACCTTTAATAATATAATATAATAATATATCTCATACATCACACACATGGCCGTTTGATTCCAAACTAGGCACAGCCTGTAGTACTATGGTAACCAGACTGCTGATAAACATACTTATATATTTCTAAATACATACTTATTACAGATAAATTACACCCAGACACAGAACAAATGACCGTGCTCATCACACAATATTTGTCCTGGGTAGGAATGGAACCCACGACCTCCAGCTTAACAGTCAGAGTCACTAACCATTAGACAAACGGGCCCGTCAGAAGTAAGTTAGATCTTGAAAAGATCATAATAAATCTGTCCACCTTGTTGCTGGACGTCCTACGCAGCGAATCATCGATGGCCAGCCAACCTTCGACACAAATGTGACACCAGGGCCTTACAGAAAACTGTTGCTAAGCAACTCATGCGTTGCTGTTCACCTAATAAGTGAGATCAACTAAGACCCATTTAGGCCTGTTCAGTTGGAAATTTCCATGGGAGACGGTAGTCACTGACAGTCAGGTCTCCCTTCTACTCATTTTGTCCGTTAACATAAAATGAGACTTTAGAGTTAAACCCGTGACCTACGATTGGCTCTACTCATGACTGCACGGTTGGCGTAGTGGTTTAAGCGGTACTACGCTGAGTGTTGTGGGTTCGATCCCCACATGGGACGACACTATGTGTGATCCACAAATTGTTTTTCTAAGTCTGGGTGTTTTTTATGTTCGTTTTATGTATGTTTGTTAAGTCCGTGTAGATATATTCCTTTTGCGGGATTCTTAAAAGGAGAAAGAAGTCTCTGCTGGATCACTAACCACCAGACCAACAAGTCAGTATATGATGCATAACCATAATCATCATCATCATCAACAGCCTTTAGTAGTGCACTGTTGGACATAGGCCTCTCCTTAGAAAGGAGGTTTTGGCCTATAAAACGCTAGCCAGAGTGATTGGTACAGGGTCTGTGTCAAGTTTTCCTTCTCTTTGCCGTGCTGTTGTGCACCCACGGGATGAATAGACACTGACACTCCATATTCTTAATCCGTCACAACACGGATGACTCGCGCTTGTATAATGTGAGAACATAGTTACCTCATACTACTGTTAAAAGTCTAGCTTTAATTTTACCGAATAAGACAATTTAGTTACATTACCGACTATGATTGCATTACACGATTCGAAAGTAGCTTAACCACCACTTAAAATACTGACAATAACCTAACTACGAATGACTCACTAATTTATAACAAAACTGCTCGTTGTAGACACTTAGTAATTGTTTTTCTAATGTCTCTCTTTCTCTGTCTGACATTTTTTGTAGTATGTTTTTTTTAATTTTATTTTTTTACTTAATGGGTACAGTCACTGACAACAGATCATGTCACACACAATAACAAGTAACAACGTACAATTTCGAATCTGAAGTCCAATCAAAAATATACACACCATTCACAGTCGCGCTAATAGAACTTCAGTTAGGTGTTGAACAGAAGGCCAATTCTCCCCCAGCTTCCCTATTAATCCCGTGGATGCACAACAGCACAGCGAAGAGAAGGAAAACTTGACACAGACCCTGTACCAACCTGTCTGGCAAGCGTGGTATAGTAGACCAAATTCTCCTTTCTAAGGAGCGGCCTATGTCCAGCCGTTATTAAAGGCTGTTGATGTGATGTGATATTTTTTTTTAGTTTTTAGATTATTGTAGTTGCTAAGCTGGATATGTAATCATATTCAGGCAAGTATTATTATGTCCTGTCTAGCAGACATCCAAAAATATGTTTTATCTGTGTTTTTTATAAACTTAATTTAGGTGTTGGACTAAAGTTCGTAACTGCTGGGTGATATAAGAACGAACATTCATATGCAAACATAAGCTTTTAAGCAATTAATACTGTTGGGATGAAGGCTTCGGAGGTCTCTTATTCTGCTTTCCGTAAGCCTTTTTTAGAGTATCAGTCTCTTTGTTCATAGCAAAGCAAAGAGGCGCTTGCAAGTTATATCTACGATTACCATCAAACACCATTTTATTTTAGTATAGTATAGGTATTACTTAAACGTACGTATGTAAACTAGTATTATTAGTACGATTAGTATTAGTAAAACAGTTATTTAAAACGGATACGATAAGGATTTCCGTCCCATCAACTTACAAGATTAAAAAGAACTCCGAATTTAGTATGTTTTTAACTTTTTTTTCAGTAATAAATTATATGTTTTTATTGGTATTTGACCGCGGATAATTTACACAGGTATATAACAGATAATAATACAAAAAAAATAAGAAATAAATCTTCTAAGGCTACTTTAACCTACTTCTAGTTGCCGTGTCGTAATAAAAAAAACTTTTCTCCCTACCATCCCACCCCTATTCATCCCGTGGGTGTCTTAAAAGCCGACTAAGTGACCAGAATACGCAGAAGAACAGCTTTACAAAGAGAAAAAAAACTGAAACAAACCCTATACTAACCCGTCTGGCCAGCGTAGTATAGTATAGAAAACCCTCCTTTCTAAGAAGAGGCCTATGTCCAGCAGTAGACTATTAAAGGCTGTTGATGTGATGAATAAAATTTTGTATGTAGGTCGGATGACAATAATTTATCATCTTGAAGCTGATTTGATGAAGTATTGCCATGACTACCGTCGCCCTAGGAAACTTCTAACTCAAGAGATACAAGAGCGTTGTCACCTTTATGTACTTTGTGTGCTTTAACACCGGTTTTTGTGAGCCTGTGTTATTACTCCGGTCACAGCAATAAAATTCTCCACGATTCTGATAAGCAAAGAAACTGAGCCTATTAAAATGAAACAAATAAGTACATACCTAAGCTTTTAATAGTATTTGTGGTTTCATTGAGTCCAGCGAAAGAGTACACCAGATGAGTGCAGAGCGCCGGTTCCAGGTTTTCCAGGTTGAATTTGCCGGGGTCTGGCCTGTACACAGCCCATGATGCTATATAGCAGACGACTTTCTTGTCATGGCTTGGACCTGTAAAAGAAAGATAGCGTATATTATTTGGTGCTTCAAACAGGACTGTCTTACATCGAGGTGTTGTATCAGCAATGTTGACTAGACTGTTGGTCCAGTGGTTGGTGACCCTGACCGCTAGACCAGAGGTTGTGGGTTCGATTCCCACCCAGGACACATAATTGTGTGATGAGCAAAAACCTCCTTTCTAAGGAGAGGCCTATATCCAACAGTGGACTATTAAAGGTTGTCGATGATGATTCTGTGTCTGGGTGTAATTTATTCAATAATTATAATTATCATCATGAGCCTACTGACGGCCATTGCTAAACGAAGGCCTTCCATAAGGAGTGCGAACCATCATGGTCTTGAGCAATCCATATGCATCCGCTGCCAGCCATTTTCTTCAAGTCGTCGATCCATCGTGTAATTATAATTATAATACTTATAAATATGTATAATTATAATTTATTGAATCATTTTTCTAACCTAAAATGTAATAATAATTATTATTTTCAATCAGGAATACAATCTATGATTAACTTATGACTGAGACACGAACTAGACTAAAAGAAAAAATAGGTACTTCTAAATTTAAAAATATTTATTTAAAAATAATAAATAACTTAAAAAAGTGTGATTGTGAATATTAAATAATATAATTATTTGTCCTAGATAGAATTAGATCCTACGACCGCGCTCGTTAACTGCTGGCCAGTACAACTTACCACTAGATACTAGTCCAACAGGCCCGTCAATTACAATAATTATAGATATTACATGATTATATTTATAAATATATGCATTTAAAAATATATAAATACAAGCAAATCACCAGTATACTACCACTTCTCGCTTATACTGAATGTGTAGAAAAAAAAAAAAGATTACAAATAATCTATGGTAATATTTTTCGTTTTTTTTTACCGACAAATCGTAATGGATTGGTAGGATCCGGGTAGGATCAAGTTCTATGCAACTGTCTGGTTGATCGGGGTCAGACGTTTGTAGCTTCAATGTTGTTTAAGTGTCTATAGTATCTTTAAATATATTCAGAATATTGTCTAATATTGCGCAATGTAGATTCAGCAATTACTATACAATTCGAAAAGGCGTTGGACTTCGGTCACATAATCCACGCGTGGCTATCTTTATACAGCAGTTTCAATTTCATTGACAGCTGACTATTTTAAATATATTAAATCTTGTTTGTCTAGGAGAGGATTCTAAGTGTTACTGATGTTAGATAACCTGTCACCTTCCAAAATCTAACGCTGGCTTCAGCGATCTTATGAAATTTAACCAAAAAAAATCACAAGATTCTTAATTATACAGATACAGAATATATTTAAAACTCATCTTCTGTATAAACCCGGTTCCTTTGTCCTTGTGTCGACTTCACAATCGTTTTAATATTAACATAGAAATATACATTATATATGCGATAGTTACTCACTGAATAAATAAAATGAACTTTTGTGTCACTAAGCATGAATGCCAATTGTTTCTGCTTTAAGTTATATACAGATGCAGTTGCATAATAAAAATTACGATAACGATGTACGTGAATTTATTTGTAACTAGCTCATGCCCGCGACTTCATGGAATTTGAAAAGTGCTGCCTTAGTAAGTTCGATTCTCGGATCAGGCAAAATTTTATAAGCGTTTTTTGAGAGGAAAAAATATAGCTTAAGTTACGCCTTGTATAGAAAGCTACCTGGTAGTAAAATATTATCAAAAGCGGCGCAGCTGTTATGAAGATTACCCGAAAAAAGAGACAAAAGATATTTAAACTGGTTTTTAGGCATAGGTGTGGTGCAAATAACCGCGTGAGTATGAAAAAAACCTATTGTTATGATATTACAAACAGACACTTCAATTTTATTTATTTGTATTGAAGATTGGTATACTTGGTTCTTGATGCATGTAGATTATCACTTACCATCAGGTGCGTTTACCCTTGTATATCATAGAAAAGTGTTGTTGCCGAGTGGAAGGAGCTAAGAGAACGGTAAGTGTGTCTTAAATCTATATCTCGTTCGAACACCTGACAATTTACCTTTTCGTACCGAAATCAATAAAAATATTCATAAAACCAGTTCTTTTTTACTAAATTATCCTTAAGCGTCAGTTTCCTCAGTAAAAGGTCACCTACTTAATATAATATTTTGCCTTCACCAATAACCGAGCACTCAGATTTCGCTCAAATTTAAGTTGTCGTTGTCAGAACATAACAATAAAAAGCCTTCGATTTAAACTTTTTATTATTATTTGCATACTTGATGGTACAACCATCGAGTATGCAAATTTTTTATGATTATCGGTTCAGTGGTTAAGGAGTGAATAAGTATCAAACATATCAACATATTTTTTTAATGTCAAGTGGGCAAACAAGCAGACGGGTTATCTGATGGTAAAATACTACCGCCGGAGTGGGGTTCGGCGCTCTGGTATCCTCAGTCACTCGGTGATAATCAATAAATTAATTCCTTAACATCGGTTTTCTATGAGGCCGTGGTATCAATAAGTTTAACTGGCCCTTTTGTACCGAATTGTAACTTTGATAGCGCCTTTCTAAGGTGTTTGTAAGGTAAGAATTTTGGTAGGGAGTTTTATTTTGATCCTGTATCTACCTGCCCTGGGTTACATCAGTGTTATTTTACTAATAGTGATGATCACCACTACATCACCGGTGTCTGGTGGTGGTGATGATAAGGACAAAATTAAAAGCACTAAGTAGCGACATCGCTTGCGCTTGCTCTAAAGAAAAATAAAATCTTGTAGATTGACAGGCTGTGGGTTTGATTCCCACCCATCACAAATAATTGTGTGGTGAGCACGATCATTTATTCTGTGTCTGAGTGTATTTATCTATAATTATGTATGTCTTTAGAAATAAATAAGTATGTTTAATAGCAGTCTAATCATAATAGTACTGGCTTAGCCTAATATGGGAAAAAAGAGATATTTAATCGATAAACACCTGCCTGTAACTGTGATTGTAAGTTGTGTTTAATTGTGGATATTTCCGTAGTCGTCTGAGCCACTTAATGGCGTCCCTTCTGAGTAATATCTTTCGATAACAACAAGTTCAAGTCAAAACATGTCGACGTATTTATGGAAATATACTAAAGTTTATTCTAGTGAAGGTCAGATAATGTCCTATATGTATACGGACTACACTTCACAAAACCGGCTAAACTGCTTACTTACATCAAAAAACAACAGATTGCATGGTTTTATTTTTATATTGTCTACATTATTATATACTATCCGTGTGATGACGGATTAATAAAACAGGGTGTCACCATTGAATCCGTGGGTCTCGTAACAGCCGACTGAGGGAGCAAACTATGCAGGACAACAGCACTACAATGAGAAGGAAAACTTGAAACAAGCCCTAAACCTACCCGTCTGCGTACGCGAATAGGTGTGGTGACACTCCTCCACACTCTATTCTTAATAAATCACCACGAAAGTGTATATTTAAATTCGTGGATCTTTTAACTCATAAATCTGTCCGATTTAAGACAAACCAAAGTATAGTTAACAAAATGCGGTTGTTAAAATCCCTTCTGATGTCAACGGAAATATTTATACGTATTTCTACAACGAATGAATGAATGAATACATAAAAAGCTAGAGAGCATATTTAAACTAAATTAGATAAAAACAACGATTCAACCAAAGCTTCCTCTCTCGGTGAACATTTAGAATAAAAAACAGTTACGGAGCAGCCGACCAGAGAATGTCGCCGACCGCGAAACAATAGGACGATTTAACCGTGTACGAATGAGGAATTAGTAGTTTAAGTAACAGCATTCTTTTGAAGAGAATCATCATAATGTAAAGAGTTAGGACAACAGCACTGCAAAAAGAGAAGGAAAACTTGACTAAAATCCTATACCAACCCGTCTGGCCAGCGTGGTATTTACCAATGTGGCCAATACCTCCTTTCTAAGGTGAGGCCCAAGTTCAGCAGTGGACTATTAAAGGCTCTTGATGTGTGATGATCTGAAAGAGTTAGAAACAAAATATCGGCTGAAACTCAAACTACAAACTCAAACTAAAAAAGAACTTTTTATCGTAAAGGGGTCAAGCGAGCAGACAGCAGTTCTATTCTACGCCGCTACAGCGCTGTCACAGCGTCGAATTTTAAACAAGGTTAGTTTGAAGTTCGACGCTGTGGCAGCGCTGTACGCAAGACTGTTTCCTTAGAGAATAGCACTGCAGATCATTTCATGGTAAGTGCAGATATAGGTACATTGCCCCCCTTTTAGAAGAAGCGTTTAAATTCACTCATTTAACGGTTGTATGTGAGGCAGAGCTGACCAATATGTGCTGGAGCACGAATATCTCGTAAGATCTCTTGCTACTTGCAGTTCATTTGCTTTCTATATCATATCAAATAAAAATAACATAAACGTGTTATTATTAAAGACGTTTATTTTATTAGAAATAAAAAAAAACAGTTAAAAATTAATTACTATAAAATATTTATGCAATCATACTCGTAGTTCAGGTAATATTTTTATCTTTTCATTTATTTTCTTTGAAATCCATTTCGTTTCATTGCATTTTGTTTCCTTTCATTTTCTGTTTCATAATCTATTACGTGAAACTATGAAACTGAATCAGACAAGACGTAGTTTTAAGTAGATTTACACAAAATTAAATATATATTTTTAACCTGTAGTTCCCGAACGGATGTACCGATTTTGGTTTTGTTTTTTTTTTTCGTTTGAAAGGTGTCGGGAGTGTTCTTAGCTATGTTTGATGAAAATCGGTCCAAAATGGCCTCCGCCACAAAATGACGGATTACATATTTTTTCACTACTTCCTCAATATGGGTATCAGCTTGACTAGTAGAATAATATGCACTAAGACAAATTTCAAATCCAAGATGTGTGTCAAGATTTTTTAAAATATAAAACACGATTACCCATTATACAAATCACATACGAGTAGAATTTAGGTACAAATCATTTTATCATCGTATTGATTATCCATTATGAGGAAAG